CTCCTACCCTGGGGGGCTTTAAGACAAGGCTAGAAAATCACCTTGCTGGGGTCATTTGACCCCAGTACTCTTTCCTGCCATGTCAGGGGGTCAGACTTGATGATCTGCTCAGGTCCCTTCCGACCCTACCAGCTATGAAACTGTAAGAGATCTGATGTCTCTGAGTATCATTTGGCTTGTATGGCAACGTGTGTGGTAAATTCACTATGCTGGAGGTGAATGTTGTCTTTGTTCACTGGAACAGCTCTAGCTCCATGGTACATATCTTTTGGTAGTCCTGTGAGTGCATCCTGAGTCATCTCAGCAAAAATACTGGAAGTCAAAAGGATGTAACCAAGTTGGCTGTGTGCACTTTGCTGTGAGAAGTTTAATGGAATAAGGATTCAAAGGTGGGGTAGGGAGTGAAGATGTAGACAATGCACTGAAGTGGTTTCCATTAGCAAGATTTCTGCCACGACTTAGGGAGGTGGAGAGGACCTGGCAAGAAAGAACTGTGATGTTTCTTTTCTTTTTTTTTTTTTTTTAAATAATTCCCTAAAAGTACAAGATGGAAGTTGAACAATTGCTCTCCATCTTTCTAAGGACCCACTGTTGCAGTATCTTAAGTTTTCAGTATATCCTCAGGCTTCTTTTATTGTTGAATACAGAATTTCAGTAAGCTTTGAACCATAGCATCAGTATGAAAAAGTCAGCAGGCAGCTGTATGGCATGTCATAGTAATTGGAAACTCCTTTCTGTACATGTCTAGGTGTATACAATTCCTGACCGCCAGCCTGTTCCATCAAAAGATCATTGGCCTCTTTTTTATAAAGAGTGCCCTCCTAATAGAATGATTTCAGACAGCCTGTTCTTTATAGAGTATCCATTTCAAAAGGACGTAAATTTTGAAAATTGTTGTGTTTAAACAGCGCTAGGATGAAGTAGTCTTGGAAAGAAACTGCTCAGTAAAGTGCAAGATTTATAATATACTAAGTTTTTCTGAAGAGAGTAGGTTGAACTGCACTGATAACATTTCTAAGGTAACATGGGTTTATTCACATGCTACAAAACAGTGCAATATGGACTGATAAATACTTTACAGTGGGCAAAGGGCTTTTGCAAAATAAGATAAACTCATTTTATCCTACTGCAAAGCCATTTACAGCTGCTATTCTCAGGGCAGCAGGCTGTTTGTGCATGTTGCGCTCAGGTACTGTTTATCAAACACGTAGTAAAATATCATTTGTGTTTCAGCCAGTTTCTATCCTAGCACATTTTTTCCGTATTGGAAATTGTTTTATTAAATTGGATAGAATAAATTAACATCTCTGAGGATGGAGTGGGTGGTTAGCAGATGAAATGAAGATGCTTGTTTGAAGTGTCTAAACAGCATTTTACAATTCTTCTCGTAACTGACTTTTCTGGCGTGGGAGTCGAATCAAGTGGAATCAGAGCTCATGGCAGAGGTGATGTCTTTTATTAGCCCAGCTAAATATTTGCAAAAAAAATTTCTTTATTTGCAAGCTTTAGGGCACAATTACCCTTCCTCAGGCATAGGAGAATGCAAAGATTGTAAAATTGCTCCTAGGTGGAAATATTTCACAGGAGAGAGGTAGGTGTTGTAATGCCTCCTGGCTGAAATAGTTCATTTCAGCTCTCTGTTCTACATTTTACCTTTTTTGAAATGGCTGCAAGCTTTTGTGCAGGTACTCCATAAATACCTTTTAAATAGCACTTTGAGACCTATTTGTATGTGATACAAACTGTGTATAATATTAGTCCAAAGACAAAAGGCTCGTGATTTATCATATAGTTCATTAGGCTGTCCCCACCTCCCTCCAGCAGAGTTAACAGCATTTCAAGCCATGGTGACCCCACAGCTCAGCACTGCCCAGTTTGTGTGTGTACCCCAGATACCTCCTGTGGCAGAAAGCCACCTTGGTTTCTCCCCAAAAATCTCTGCCCTGTGACACTGTGATTTAAATCTCTGTGCTGTGACCATTCAATCAGGATGGGCCCAGCACACAGGGGACCACACCCTCAGCCTGTCTCTTTAGGG